GTAGTAGTAGTAGTAGTAGTAGTAGTAGTAGTAGTAGTAGTAAATATAATGATTGGAAGACAGATTCAAATTTATAATATTGGTTTAAAACATTTTTTTAGATTTAATTTAAATTTAATTGTTGCTTTTTTTTCGTATCTTCCCTCCAGCTTTCTGAGGTCCCACAAGTGCCCCCTGGTGGCCACCACTTTGAAAAACATGGGACAAACCATATCAAACTCATGAACGGTTTTCCTCAGTCAATTTGACAGATCTTGAGCTAAAATTTGCTGTGAAAAAAAATTGACATCCTCAACATGTCCTCCGTCATGCCAWCACATCTCACGAGATCTTGCATGAGCTGCCTGGCACATAACATAACTAATCACTACAATGCTGTAACTACGTTCTCTCTCATCAAACAATGGTTTTAGTTTAACTCAACTTTTGCTTTGCCAAAAAAAATAAATGCAGGGAGAAATGAAAACTTCTCATGCAACCCTTTTATAACATATGCTTGTTAAATCATTCAGTCTGCAAATATCTAAATAATTAAGAGCCACACTAATTTGAACTGCAATTGTTGTCAGCTCTAATTTAGTTCCAGCACACTTATCAAAACAAAACATGATTTAGGAGCCTGATGACGAGTCCCTTTAGATAAGTGATGAAAGAGTTGGAAATCCCTCAACAACTTCCAGTTTCATATATTTAATTGCTATATGGCACAGTTTCATTGGCAGTAAGTTTCAGGACTGATCCAAAGGATTTGTAAGGATGCCTGTAGATGCCTGAATATAAATGTAAGAAAAACACTCTTGATCAAACGCTGAGCTAATGGAGACAGTCTTGGACTGTGGAGTACTCAAGAGAAAATAAATTCTCCAAGGGAGTCAAGTGAAGGCTACAGATAATAATTAGGCTGCCACTGATGGATTAAAAGCTTAATGTTGGCCAAAAAAAAATCACATTTATTAAAAAAAAGAAAAAAAAAAAAGCTCATTACATTTAGATTCAAAAGGCATATCAGGCTGAGTTCAAGTGTTGATATTGTTCAACGTACCGGTGAGAAGGGAGGTAAATAGCAGAGGTGATGCCATGGGAGTGGTGAGTGGAAAAGCTGAAGGTGTGGTTCTCCTGGAAGTTCTGATTGGTTCCAACACTGAAAGCCCAAAAACAGCAACAGGAGGACAGAACAGAGAGAATGATCAAATCAAATTAACTTTTGGGCGCATAAACAATGAAACCATGAACACTCTTGAGGAAACTCTTAATGGTGCAGCAAAGCTGTTTTGAGAGCGAGATGACAGAGCAATTTCTCTCCCCGCTGCAATAAAAAATGACACATGGCAAAATATATAATCTAATTAAGGAGGGAGATCTAAATTAAATCGGTACATGTGGTGTAATTTGTGTTGGGATATCCTATCTCACAGGGGAAATCTTTCTTTGCTGTGAGTTTCATWCAGAGACATAAAGATGTTTAAAAAAGACATAGGAGCTAAAATGTTTCTGAAGAAACTTTGAAGAGTACCAATGAGCTACTTTCTGAAATTCCAGTATCAGTTTCTTAATGATCTAAACTAAAAACTACATTTTAGTGTATAAACTGCTTTAAAAAAGTGTAAAAGAAACCAATTTCAAAATTAGATAATTTGCATTCCCTGTAAAAATAAAATATGAACGCTTAATGCTGAAAAACGTTTTCTGAATAGCTTAAAAAAAAGCTGAAATTAAATGAGCAAAAGTCAGCTGGAAAAAAAGGCATAAAATCTTAAAATAGCAGAAAGAAGCTGAAAGAAGCACAAAAAATGTGAAATTTGCATAATAGCAGAAAACATCAGAACGATAGCTAAAAAGAAAAAAAAATCAAAAGCTGAAGGAAGCTGAAATTAGCACAAAGAAGTTAAAACAGAACCAGAACAAAAGGTAAAATGTACAGTAAAGACTTATTAACATTYTGAAGGGTTTTAAGGATGTTTGAACGAGGAAAAACATGGCAGAAAAAGCTAAATATCCCAAAATGTAAAAATTGTTCCAAAAGTCGTAGCTGAAATGTCCTGAAGGTTGTTGAAAACACATAAAAACTGAGTTACATGGCAAAAAATGAACGCAAGAAAAAATGATCTCAAGAATAYGAATTATTTATAAGCATTCAATAAATGTTAAACCTGCTACCAGTGGTTTCTATAGTGTTTTATGTTGGAGATATAATAAATTAAATAGAATCATATATTGTATATTTTGAGCTGAAGTATAACTGAAGTGTACTGAAGGTTGGRTGTGAACTCTCTGCACCCTGAGGGGATTTGTATGAAAATTTTATGTCCTATAGAAGTGGGAGACACAGAGTAGAAAAATCTAAATTCTTACATTTTGATGTATAACTTGTTTAAGTACTAAAAACTAGTTGAAGTAAGTAGAAGTTGTTTGCAAAGGTTTTAAAATGTGACACTTAGAAATCAACTCAGTTGACATTTCAAAGGAAAAATCTCCAAACATCATAAAAATTAAAACAGCTAGTGTGTAAAATCTGCAAAAAATATCAAAATTCCAGTTAAGATTTGTCTAATCCAAATTTATGTAACTTGTTTAAACTCTGAATGATATTTCTTCTGTGAACTATGCCTGAGTTATGGAAGTCTGCAAATACATGTTTGTGCTTTTGTGATTTTTGTCTATGATTTACAACATATTCACAATTAAATATCATGCCTTGATGCATAATTTGCATGTTATTTATTTATTTATTTTTCTTACTTTTTCCAAAGCTGTGCAATGAGATAAAGGACAAATTAAATACCTGGAATAGTATGATGGATGATTGATACAAATTAGCTCATGCCACAAGTTTAAGTGTTTTAAGCAGGGTTTTTTTAAAATATGGCATCAAGTCTGTAATGATTAAAGTGTAATTATAATTTCCTGAACTTTCAACATAATTAGCAACAATATTAGAACGCTATGGAACAAAATTGGGGTGATCTGAGTCGTCACCCCCATGCCAAAACCAGAAGTTCGAAACTGAAAAAAATAATAATAATAAAAATCTTGACTTTTTTTTCAGTTTCTAATCTTTTTTTTTTTTTTTCAGTTTCAAAATTGTTTTTCAGTTTATTTATTTAATTTATGGCCCAATTTAGCTCTATAGAATGCAGCCATTAAAACAAAGCAAACCTTCAAAAATATATCCTAAGGAAATCTGGCACAAATTTCTCCTACATCCTCATTAGCTCCTGACACAAATACATTTACCTCAAAGGCAGCATTCACCTCCTCTCTGCTTGAAATATGAAAATAAATCAGCTTTTTCCTCCACTTCTTTAGCATCCACTGTTACTGGCACAGAGTGAAGGAAGGAGTTTAAGCACAGGACAGCATCTGATTAAGATTCAACACACACACGCTGAACTATTGGGAGAACTGATGCAACRACAACGATGAATTAACACAATGAGGAATCTGTAAATTTGACTAAAAAGAAAGTGCTACTACCAAATTTAAAACGGGACGATGATGGCAGGCACATACATAAATCAGATGTGTTGAAATATTTAAAGATGCATGTTGGAATCTTCGGAATCGGTATTCAAATAGAGACATCCCTTTAAGCAAAAACAAGCAGGATGCATCAAGACAGATCCCAAACAAGGTGTGCTGTTGGGTGGTTGGATTGCACAGTAAATGCAGCTAAAGTTCAGCTGATGTGTGTCTGCACAAGCAAAAACAAAAAAAATCTGAACACACTAATGAAATGAACAGCAGATTGATGCTAAAAATTGCACAGGGCTGTTAACAGAAACTGTTGATTGTTTGTTGTGAACTGACTCCATTATGCAGGATTTTAACTTTCTGACAACAATTCTCAATTAGCAGAACACAAACGCTGTTCGAGGTGTTGTGGGTGGAAACTGGGGGCAGTTTAATCACACCCATATTCACTGGCAGGTTCGCTATTGCATTGGCATTCACCTTCMCCTGGATATTTGAGGAGTAGGAAAATACTGAGCCCGCGAGGGGACATAGGGGATTTTTTTTCTTTTTGCGTTCCCACGCAAAAGGATTGCGTTCCTTTGCAATAGTAGTTTATCACTGTTGTGCCTGCCGGTTTATTAACAAACTCACATGTTTACCATTAGTGAGTTTGCCTACTGCTTTAATTCAGCTTCAGAATGAATATATCACACAGCTACACATGTCATATACAGATATTTTAACACATTGCAGCCACGCAACATCAATGTCAAGTTCAAGAACTTGTGTCGACACATCCTGTTTTGGTAACTGGATATTTCAAAATAAAAGTCTGATTTAATTCTGTTCATACATAAAACAAATTTGCGTGGGAACGCAAAACAATATTGCGAGTTAACGCAAACGTATTGCGAGGGGACGCAAACATATTGCGAGGAAACGCAAACGTATTGCGAGGGGACGCGAACGTATTGCGAGGGGACGCAAACGTATTGCGAGGGGACGCAAACATATTGCGAGGGGACGCAAACGTATTGCGAGGGGACGCAAACGTATTGCGAGGGGACGCAAACGTATTGCGAGGGGACGCAAACGTATTGCGAGGGAACGCAAACGTATTGCGAGGGGACGCAAACGTATTGCGAGGGAACGCAAACGTTTTGCGAGGGAACGCAAACGTATTGCGAGGGAACACAAACGTATTGCAAGGGAACACAAAAGAAAAAAATCCCCCCACGTTCCCTCACAGGCTCCGTAGGAAAACTATGCATTTAAAAAAAATAAAACTTTATTGAACAAACCAGAGGTGCCCAAGCTTTTTCCTTGGCAAAGACAAAATGAAAATCTATCCGAGAGCTGAAATAATATAATACATGAAATGCTAATACTTTTTTAGTACACCTTTTATCTTGCAGCCAGTGTGGTGGCCCGTGATTCCTTTTTTGTATGTTTCTATGTGGGCCAACAGGAGAATAACTATGGGAACTGCTGGCGGACCAAACTGAATGGTTTGGCAGGCCAGTTTCTGTCTGCAGGCCCCACTTAAGTTATTTAAATTATATTGGAAAAACAAATCYTTCCATTTGCCATGAAAAGTATATGACTGCCATCTTTTTTTTAATTGGCTGGCGTAACAAACGTTTTCATCTTTCATCTGTATCTTWTCCTCAGCTTTGATTTTGACTGCTACACCACATTTTTAGAACCTTGTACTGACTGACTCCTTCTAAAATCTATGTGAACCTTGGCTTTTGCTGCAGGATGCAACTAGGTAAATGTCAGGAAAGTCCCACTGGGACAGCTGGACTCTGTTTCAGATTGATCAGAATCACTTTAATTGATGGAAGGTGTGTTTCCAAGAAGAATGAAGGCTGCAGTTAAATTAAAAGGCATTCCAACATCAGTTTATTGCATCTTTTTTATATACAGTTATTCTTGCTGAAAGGAATAGAATGTGTTGCAGTAGAAATAGYTTAAATTATTTATTACGGATTCATTTTATCACAGAAAACTGACACTTTCCCAGGGCTGTGTAGACTTTTCATATCAACTGTAAATACTATGAAATAAGTGTCATCTGGGTTAGACTTGGAGTATCTGAGGTATCGATTATATTGATTCCCTGAGCGTGTTTTATTAACCTAACTGAACCTGCTCAAGAAACCTGTGTCTGTTGATTGTAAATTCAGAAAGGAGTTGAAATGGGACCATAAACCATTTTTTCCTCCACAGTTCACACACCGAAAGAAAGCTGCCTGTGCTCTAAAGGGAATCGAATCAGCCGTTCCTGATAAGGAAATGAGGYATGTAGATCTGTTAAGACACGCGAGAGGTGAAAAGCAAAAGGARCTGTAATTGAAAAGAAGAAGAAATTAAATGTCATTCAACATCTTGAAAATGTCAAAAGCAGGAGATGAAAGCAGCTGATGTGCCAACCAGTTGAGTTGTAATTTATTGAGCAAAAGTTAAAAGCTGTTGAACAAMTGTAATATGAGCTGACCTGTAAATTACAAATGTGTTTGAGTTCAAACAGATCAGTTGAACTCTGGACAGTGACAGCAGCATCCAGGTGAAGAAATCTGCTCTCAGTTAGAGCAGAGATTCCAAACTTGTGGGCCCGTGGCAAAAAAAACAAAAAAAACCCTTTGGGCTGCAGCCCAATTGTGGGCTGCGAGCGCCACCTTGAGGGCCTCAAAAGAACAACAATTTTTAACTTTGGGCTGCAGAGGGCCATGGGACCGCAATTTTGAATAAGGTGCAATGCACTTTCTCACCAGTAGTAGCGGTAGTGCGCCACTCGGATGTTTAACAACTTTTTTAACATGTAGAAGAAAAACGTTAGAAATCTGCATAGAAAGGAAACCTATTTTAAATAAAAAAGTAGAAGCAAGAATGAAAGTAACTCATCAAAAAATGCCAAAATTTCTCACTAATATGAAGTGCAGCTTCTGTTTTTACCATGCAATATTTTAAAAGTTCGAAACATTTTCAAATGCAGTTGCAGATACAACTATAT